CCAAGGTCATCTCAAGGTCACGTGACCCCTCTGAGGTCACGTGACCCCCCGAGGTCACGTGACCCCTCCAGGTCACGTGACCCCAAGGTCACGTGGGGGTCACCTTTGGGGTCACGTGGCCTTGAGGTCACCCCCAGGTCACGCCTCCCCGAGGTCACGTGACCCCCTCCCCGAAGTCACGTGACACCCCCCCCCGGAGCATATTGAATGAGGGGAGGAGGAGGAGAAGGGGGAGGGGTCTACCCTCCCCTCAGTACCCTTCACTCCTCCTCCTCAAGAGCTGCGCTCCAATTCGTCGTTACAGGGATTTGTAAACGGCTTCCACTTTTATCATTAATTTTATCAAACGTGCAAACGAAGCCGCTAGAAACAGCGAAGTTCCGGAGCAGTGCCAGCAGCGCCACGTACACTGGGGGATGGCCGTCTCCGGATTGCGGGAGGCTCGCGCGACACGGAACTACAGTCACTGCTGTAGCGAAACCACGCGGAACTGTGTCGGCGTTTTCGACGTTATGGAAACCGCAGGAACTGCGTCCAAGACAGGCAGGTTTTGCTGCCGGCTGCCAAGGTGCCCTCTGCGCTAAGTTCGGTTCCGTTTTCCGAGGCCGAGTGCAACCGGCGTTCAACGTGGTTCTGTGTTTGTGAGTGGCAGCAACATAGCTGCAACATCGTGATGGCAGTGTTGTGGGTTGTGAACAGAAGACTGGAATTATCGCCGATGTGACCGTGTGTTCGCGTATCAATGGTGTAACAAGAAGATGAGATCGTAAACTGTTGGGCATTGATGCCGCTGGTCGGGCCGTGATCGGAGGGGACGGGGCGTCGCAGGTTGACATTCCGCTTTACATTAAAAGGTTTAATGCCACTTGAGGGATTACGTGCAATCGATCAACGTGCGGATGTTGGAACGCTCGTCTGAACAGTAGAAGCTCCTATCGTACAGTGGCAAATGTGACTGTCGGAATTGTCTCGTCCCCGAGAGCGATTGCGCTCTGGGGCAAGGACTGAACAGTACGAAATCGTGACGGAAAGTACGTATATTTACAGTATGGAATTTCGGCATTAAAAAACAATAGTAGGGAAAATCGAAAAAAAAAAAGCTGCCCTTTATTTTGCTGTTTAAATATACTACGGTTCCTGGAGAAACTGCCCACCGTGGCGCGCTGGGATGAGCGCTAGAAATTTTCGGGCTCGCCACGGCGTAGCTCCGTACACTTAAAGGGATACTCCACCGATTTTTTGAGCTACCTCAACTAACTATATTTTCTGACTCCCCGGCCTTTAGCCTTTCCGGTATGCTATTTAGCATCGCGAAATTCATAATAGGTATTGTGAAATCGGCAAATGAAAATGGTGCAAAAACCAATATTCAAATATTCGCGCACTTTTCAGTGCCGTGACGTCAGTGGCAGGCAGGCTTGCCAGTCGAGCAAGTCGTCTAAAAATTGAATATGAGAATCATTTGTTCCGTGCTGGAGCGCGGATACGGGAGCGAGCTTCCAAAGCACTCATTTGACGCCATGAAACTGCTTCAAATCCGTTGGGAACAACTTCTGTAGTCCAAAAAGTTAACCCCTGCCTTCCAGTGACGTCACTTTTCCATTGTTGCCAGTAGAGACTTTCAGTTTGAAAAACATGGTGAAGACCAAAACTGTAAATTCAATAACTTCGCGAAAAAACAATATTTTGACCTAATATTTGGGATACTATTTTAGCAATGTTTGTTGGTTAGTTTAGCAAAATTTCAAGCAAATCGGAGACAATGAAAAAAACGGTGGAGTATCCCCTTAACACCTTCCGCAAGTCGCGGCTTTGACTGCATTCAAGTTGATCGAAGAGCGATTTCTCAGTCCGTGAAGTATCATTTCCAGCTGACTGAATATCCGCTCTACAGAGATTAATTTAAGACGGCAATTGCAGCTTTGCGCGAACAGCACGAAGAGAAAAACAAATAGAAATACAGGCTACGACGTGCCGTGTGGGGAAACAAACTCATGGCTTCGAACCGCATTGGAGCGGCTTGATTTATTGGCTTTCAAATAATTACGGCATGATCGAGCGTTTACTTTTTAATAAGAGATTCAACCCCTGAGCCATTCAAAATACTCTCAGAGGTATGGCATTGCTGGGAAAAAATCAACATGCTGGGAATATATTTTATTGCTTAGGGAGTCACCGAAAAGTTCCGTACGTTCAAAACGACCAGTATAAAAGACGGAAACGCAGAGCACGGGTGTAGTGTTCGGGTTAGTGTGGTGTTCCGTTGTATTGATATTTGTGTGTGCAGTGTATGTGCTTAATATATGTTCACCTGATACTTGTAATGGGTGCAATGTGTGCATAGTAGAGGATCCCCAAGCGACAGTAGTGGCCTGAGAGGAGCAAATTTTTTTTTGTAAAACATGAATTGGGCGGTACCTAGCGCCACCTAGCCTACCCCGCTCCAAAAACCCGCAGACCCATGGGGTTATGAAACCGTGTGGGTCCCACAGAAATTGTGTGGGTGCTCGGGTCCCTATGGGTCCCCGCACAGTTTGTTTGGGTGTGCGGGTCCCCACAGGGTGTGTGGGTGTATAGGTCCCCATGGGTCCCCGCACAGTCTGTGTGGGTCTACGGGAGCTGTGTGGGTCGTGCAGAGATCCTATAGGAGCTGTGTAGGACCAAAGTCCCGTGGGAGCCGTGTGGGTAACCCATAGGGTTTCATAACCCCATGCTCTGTGGGCAATCTCTGTGGGAACCTGTGGGGGAATGCATGCTTGACACCGTATTTCACTGCAGACCATTGCCAAGAACCGGCTGGTTCTATTTTTATTTACCGATTGGCTCTTCATTTCTCTTGCTTTCGCCAGTCGTTCATTTTTTCTCCCAGTATGTGGTTTACTTTTGCTGTCCTCGACATTACAGCAATGACATCTGCATGGTGCTTTTGGCCACGGAGCTTCATCATTAGGCATTCTGAAAAATATGCAATGACAAAATATTTAAAGGAGCGCAATTTGTAGACGTAAGGCTTGAACTAATGTTCATTAAAATCACATGCCACATCACTTTCATGAACAGTTTCATTTGGAATAGTCTTTAATAATGACGCACTTGAAGAATGCAATTTCAACATGCCCTATAAAATCAATAATTAAAAAGTTAATTAACAAATCTGGGTTAATTGGTCAACATATTGTGACGGTTATCCCCTTATCTATGTCCGCCGAGCCCCACAAATCTCTCGCCCTCTTTTTTTAAATTACGTTCAAACTAAAATGGTACATTCTGTATGATGCTGAACCCGATTATATCGAACTTTGTATGAAACTTTGTGAACAGACTAGTAGCTGCTATAAAAATGCATAGCGAAAAATGCGGTTACGTCGAAGGAAAATTGCAGCGTCTTCCGATAGATAGAACTGCCAAGAGCGCCGTTTAGCTTTGCAAGCTGGCTTTCCCCCAGCACGGGGACGCATTCGGGGAAAGCCAGCTTGCAGAAAAAGCTTGCCTTTTTTGGGCGGGAGGAAGGGAGGGGGGGGGGGGGGGGGGGGGGGGGGCAACCGCGTCGGCCCCCCGGAAGTGGGGAGAGGATGATCCGGTGAGATCTTGAAAAACGAAGAAGCGGCCACTGAATAGCCATGTGGAGTGTCCCTTATGACGTACAGACGCTCCTTCGAGAGTAAACAACTTTTCTAAATATGTTGTGTTTGTTTGTTGTCAGATTCATTCAAACTTTCATGTAGAATTACCGGCTATATCGAACTGGTAGACGGTCTTTTGCGAGTTCGACATAAGTGGGTTTGACTCTATAGCAATTCGTAATCATCGCCATTTGAAAGCTTTTTATGTCCAGTTCCTGGTTTTGACAACTATTGGGCTTATGAAAGATACCGTCACAATGTCACCGTTTTCCACCATCAAAAACCCTAGAAAAAAGTGCTGGTTATACCCTTAATGTAATTTTTTTACACTTATGCCTGACTGCACGGGCCGCTAGCAAACGCCAAGCAGGCCGCGTGTTTGAGACACAACATATGGTGCCCCTCTCCTATCTAATGTTTGAGCAAGCCAAGATAAAACCATTAAAAAAGAAGTACAATGCTGATGCAGAATTCAGTTTAGAGAAAGTGATTAAGAGTGTTCAAACATCCTACCAGTCATTGAGAGTACTAATATACATCACATATTACAACCCTGCTTTTATTTGCCACTGCATGACAAGTACTTTGAGCTACTGTAATTTTAAACAATACCTACTGGGAGTTAACAATGTTCCATGGGCACATTGAAGTGACCAGATAAATGGGCATATTTCGCTGATATATTACAAGAGAATGCCTGAAAGCGGTGGTTTTAATATTTCAAAGATAAGGACATAAACCCCCTTGCGTCAAAAAGAAGAAGAGAATTGTTGCAAATTGCAACAATTCTCTCCACGAAAAAAAATTTCATAGAGCTTTTTTTTTTCTTTTTTTTTGTGAAGACATCAGTTTATTCAGGGTCACTATAGCATGTACTGCAACTGCAAATGATTGTAATAAAAAGGAAATGCCCTACGCATTGCTTACTTCATATAGCCGAAATAAAGGCCAGTGGCACAAAAAAAAAATATAAATCTGGTGTTGGCACGCAAAAAATAAAAAAATATAGCTTTTGTGTTTTACCGAGGTTACCTAATCTTCCTATAATTTTACTGAAAGCTTCCACCATTATGTCACAGCTGTGTGCTCAATCCTATCAGTTTTATGCGGTCCATCCAAAGATCACCGAAACATTGTGAACTCCCAGTATAATACCAACTAGCTGCCGAGATACTGCCTTGATTGAGAAGATTTTTCAAATAACTGCTTAAGTTACGCTTACGTGAGATAGTTTGCACTCGCCTCTTAGGAATGCCGCTTTCTTGGGTGTCAGAGGCAGCCTGCTGTCCTTGTTAAGACTGACATTCGACGCCATTTCGGCCACAGTCCTCTGCAGGACACTGGAAAACCCACAGAGCAATGGCCAGGTTCTTCACAGCAATGCTTGACCTTATGTCCTGGTTCACTTGTTGTCACCCCAGGCTTTCCACGTCACCTTGACATCAACCGTCGTAGAAATCCATCTATAAAAAATTAGAATAGGAAGCGAAACCGGTGTATTCGGTGGTGAGATCCTCCTTTCATGAAATGCTGCTTCGTGCATATTGATCAAAGCAAGTTTCGTTAGTTTAACTCCTTTTTTAGTTGAATCATTTTCAAAAATCCTGCGAAGCTCCCATGCAACACTACTACGGTGCTCGAGCTATCAAGTTCTTTTATTACGTTCCCTGATTCTGCCGCTGTCAACTGCAAGGGGTACTGGGTGGCAAGCCCTCTTGTAGTGTCGGCTGCTGGCGAAGATTATTTGGCCGGCTCAAAAAAACCTGACAGTGCGATCACTGGCTGGCCTTGTGATTTCGCTCTTCCCTTTCCAGCCCCCTTTGCCTCCTTAGATGGTGTTTCATGAATCCCCCCCCCCCCCCCCCCCCCCCCCGAACTTTTCGGTCGGCGTAATGGACAGAGAACATGAGAAGATGCGCCCACTGATTTGAGTTGCCGGTGAAAGGCGCGCCACTTTTTTACCTGTGTGCGGGGTTATCATGCAACCTCGAGCGTGGCTGGGACTATAAAACTAACGCTTTAAAAGAGAAGAAGCCACTTTATGCTCCAAGAGTGCTGAGTTTCATTCCCATGTACCTGGTGAACATAGGAAGAATAGACCATTTTCAAAACCTAAGCAAGCAACATTGACAGTCGCCATTTGTTGGACACGAAAGCCGTGATTGGATCGAAGACCATGTGAAATGCTGACATTGCACTCACGTCTATCCACGCCAATCACTGACACGGCGCTTGTTTCCAAAGCGTACTCGGAATCCGCGTTTAAGAAATGGCGGCCTTGGATATGCACACACTTCTGAAAAGGGTTTATTGTATGGGCCAAAGGTAATTAATGGGGAATACGATGCTCCAAGTCTTTCCGCCTAATGCACTCAAAATGTTGAGCAGAATGTTAGAGATGCAGGTTTAAACTTTCTACAAAGAGATGTCGCCTTAGATATGTTTTTCAAGACACTAAAACTTGGGTCTTACACCACTGCTGAAGTGATGCAACACCAAAAAACAATAATTTGTGGCGATGGTGCTGAAAGAGAGATCTTATTTGAGCAACATTTATCGAGATCTAGATGGTCAATGACAAATTGTCAAGGCCTTTTCATCTTGAAGACATTGTGCAAGCATAGAAATGCCTTCTTTCCAGAGGTATCTCTTATAAAGCAAAAACTTACCAAATCAACTTACCATTTCACATTCTAGGAAGTTTAGCAGCTGATATGGCTCCACCTCAGCGGGCTCTTTAGCAGCTGCCTCAGGGGATGCAGGTCCGACTGTACCAGCTGCTCCATCTAAGGTTGCAGGTATTGCAGCTGCACCACCGAAGGCTGCATCTGTGTTGCACATGCTCTGCATCACAGGAGCTGGTGCTGCTGCCACTTATTTTGTGAAAAATATAAAAAAATATATGACATGAGTCAGAACAATGTGCAGGACTGCCACATGATGTGTGTAATGCTACAATAAAAGCTGAGAGTGGGAGTGGGGTCAACCAACCACGCACCAGCTTGGAGCAATGCGGCTGCACTCCTGCCCCTGTGTATACATGGAGAGCAGTGCCACATAACACAAGGCTGATTGCAGTTTGGTCTAGCCCATATGCAGCTTCTATGACACTGTCAGCCAAAAACTTAATAGGTATAGTAAGGGTCGTGGACATGACATTTATGATGCTTTAGCTTGTCAAAGAGAGTATGTTGAATGCATACCATGCTCCTGCAGTCATGTATTCGAGGTTAGGAAATAACACGGAATATTTTTCATAAATATCTACTGCAAAGCTTCGCAACTCAGGAGTGTTCTGAAGAGTTTTACAGATTATAGCTTCTTGACTACACGGCTTGATAGACCGAGTAAAATGTTTTTGGGCATAAGTGAGGCAGAGATGTATAAGAATCGATGCAAAAAGTCCGCAGTACGTGGAGACCAGAGTTCGGAACAGGTGTGACAGCATTTGGCACGACAAATATGCCAATGTCATTATTTATTTTCGCAACATTAAAATGACTCTGAAAATGCGACCAGCTATGGGGTGTATTCACGCAAGTCTTGTGAGTGTTGAATTGTAGGTACAGCTCCTGGTTGTGTCCTTGTGCGATATATGACAAAATATTATAGATATTAATACTGGAAACTTCTCTGAAAACCAATGGGCACGGTGGCGAAGGACGTGAGAGGCACTGTTTACCACTCTTGCCGTTCGTTTGTGTTTGTGTGTTGTTACTTATGCCCGAATCCCACTAGAGCGACAAACAGAAACAGACGACACCGACAAGCCTTCAACACATGCGGTATCCTCGCGATGGTATACCTTTGGCAGGCGTTTATAGTCGTTCGGTGCTCGTGAAGTGACCCCGGGTGATTGCAAGCCTGCCGAAGATACCCTCGCGTGCGTAATACTTGTATCCGAGTGTAGCCTCTTTTATTCTATGCACAAGCCTGTGAAATCGCGACAGAGACTCTGGTTTGAGGCTCGTCGCTGTCGTTTGTTTCTGTATTGTCGCTCTAGTGGGACTAGGGGCTAACAAGCGCACCAATGGGAAGGCTTTAGCCATTATTGGGAACACTAAATAAAGAAATACAAAAAAATACAACACCCAGCAACACTGCATGCAAGTAGTGATGCACTTCTGTTGTCAACTCTGCATTCCGCTTACGAATGAAATGTGCAATTCCCCTAGAGGCTTTCATTCCAGGCGAGTGGCATTAGAATTGCTGAAGGCCAGCCCATAAACACAGTCTATGTTAGAACAATCCCAGCACCAATAAGTTGATTTTGTATTGCCCAATATATAGAGCACCTTACCATAAACAGCCTTGGCAGTCTCCCATGAAGCCTGGACTTCAGCAGAGGAGACTGTCATCCTGTGTCGTCCCAGGACACTCACATCGGGATGGTGAAAGTGAATGCCAACTTCTGCTTGGCAAGGGCTGCAGTAAGTATAAAGATGAAAACAGAGTACAATATACAATAAAAAATATTGTGAACCAACTTGAAAAAAGTGCACAAAAAAAAAAAAGACAAGGACAAAAGGACAGGAACACGTAGAACACAGACAGGTGCACACTAGCAACTCAATCCATTAAAAACAAAAGAAAGAAGAGAGCATCAGAGAAATCAAAAAGGCTGTGCTCGGAGAACTGAGCTTCAGGAACCGTGGCGCGAGGCAAAGATGTCAGGTAGATTGTTTTACAGAAGTTCTAGAATTAACAACATCCTTTCCATGTAGTAAAGTGGTGAGTTCATTCTAACTGAACACATTAAAAAATAGTACACAAAAAACAAGGAATAAAGGGTCGAGGAATACATACACTACATACAATTGCAGACTCCCAAGTCACATAAATTATAGCAAAAATAAAAAAAAAAGAATGCAGAAGGAGTTTTAGCAAAAGTCTAAACAGGTCCAAGTGGAACGTGTTAATTCAACCATAGCCACAAGCCTAAAAACAATTTCCTTGTTAGCTCAAGTAACAGACGAATGTGCAGACACATTGGTTGCCCATACTATGAATAATAAACGCCTAAAATAATCCTCTTTTATGTTTTTCATAGTATATGCTAATTATCCACGCTTTTTTTTAAGGATGACATACACGAGCAGTGTAAACAGTGGATAGATAGCTGACAGTCCATCGTGAATTTTAGATAGAAATTGAGCTGTTTTGATGTATTAGCCATCGATCTGTTACCTTAACCGACGAGAAAATTATGGTTTTAAAATCTGCACTTGCGAATGGGTAAATCAGCGCGTTCCACTTGGGCCTCTGCTCGAGCTCCTTCCGCATTCTTTATTTCCTTCTTTGTTTATGCGAGTTGAGTCTGCGCTTGCATGTGGTCTATGTGTTACCCTCCTTGTCTCCATGACTTTTTGTGAACTAATTTTCAAGGTGTTCAATTAGCCCCAGCTCATCCCCTTACTACCAAAAACAATTACAACCTACACCATTCACTAAAGGCAGTACCAAAGAGAAAAAAACAGGAATTGGGTGAGGTATGAACACTATATACTTACACTGAACAAAATATACCTCCCATAAATTGGCGCGACACAATTCAAAATAAGGACACGCTTGTAAACTACCCCAGAAGCGGTGTCAAAAAGTTTTTCGCGGGCACAAATTTTTGCGATCGGGAGTGGCATGCTATGCATTAATCACCGTGGGGTGATTTTACCGCGGCACCAATTTTTGGCAATTCTTTTCCGGTTATAAATCGAGAAAATGAAGTCGTTTGCAGGCGACTGGGCGGCGGAAGCTACGGGCCTGCTCGATCAATCAATCGCTGACTTTTGCCTGGTCCAGCTCTCCGGACGCAAATACGCACAGAGAATCCACCTGTGGTGTCAAACCTACAGCTTCGGCGATGGAGGGGCACCGCGCTCTTCCAGACATTCTGGTTTACCAGTAAACAGTACGGTGGAGGGAGGCAATCAAACCACCCCCCCCCCCCCCTCCCTTTATTTTTCCGTCTTAGCATGCCTGCCTGCCTGCCTGACTGCCTGCCTGCCTGCCCGCCCACCCCCCCCGCCCGCCCCCATGTCCCGAAAATTTCCGCCGCTACTGATGGACCTGGAGCGAGTATGCAGCCTAAGCGCTCATCTGTGACCGCTAATTGGTGCGAGGATGGAGTGCTCTGCATCGGGGAAAAAAAGAAGAAACACAGCCTGGCATAACACCATTCGCGCACAATTAGTAACAACGATACAAGCAAGAGACAATAACAAGCATTATGAAGGGAGGAAAGAATAATCTAGCCCTAACGAACAAAGAAAGGAACTTGCTTTGAAACGACCGTGCCACGATCTCGGCTGTTGAGCAGATTCGACGTAGTTGCACGGCTCACAGTAGCTTCCTTTTTTCAGACACATTTGAAACTAAGGTGAACTCCACGCATCACGAATAATCGGTAAATTTACTTTATGACGGAGATTTGAAACACACACGGACAACGCGACCGGCAAAACGTGCAAAATAAGATTGTGGATTATATTGGATCGCATTCGTTGGCTATTATGGATGCCTAGCGCCTTTACCGAGGCTATGTTCGCGTATCTTCAACACGCTTGCAATAAAACGATCAGCAAAGCGATTTAAAACGATTACAAGACACAGTAATATTAAATTATTGAGCATGTCAACATCACCACAATGTTAGAAATACAATCCTGAACAGGTAGCAAAAAATTAAATACGAGACTAGCCACCCAATGTTTAAAAACGGATTCAGCAGACATATAAGTTCCAAAAAAAACCACTGCAACCGATGGGGCGCGTGGATTATCTTGTTAGCGCGCTATGCTTGTGATCACATGGTCGATGGTTCGAATCCCGATAAATTGAATATTTTTTAATTTTTTTTATTATGTTTTTTTTTTGTTTTTATTGATTTAAATATTTGCTATGTTTTTTTTTTTGCGGTCGCCGGCCCCCTACTTTCGGGTAAAAATCACTGAAAATGTAAAAATAGGAAGTGCGAGCCCAAGTTTGAATTTTGATACATGCACAAGCCGTGGCCCTCTTGTTTTGCCGAGATAATTCGCTCCCTCCGTGCTAATAGGTGGGTCAGTGTAATAGGCAAGCGCCGCAAATCCTTTCAACGAAGTAAGGAAGGTAATAATAATGGGAATATTGAGAGAAAAATGGGAAAATCCGTAAGTGGTCAAACTAGCTGCCACAGTGAGGCAGCCAAAGTTTGACTGAAGGCGGTCATCTTTACCCACTATTCAAACGAAAATACCGCTACTTTAAGGCAGTTATTTACCTAATCTAATTGCTGCCATAACAGACTCTAATCTTTTTCGAAGTGCCATAAATAACCATTTTTGCGCTGATTTCTGACCTGTTTGTTCACTTTTTATTTGTTTTAGTATTGCTGAATTGTTATATTTTCCCTGCCTACGCTCTCCCCCTCTGTAATGCCTTCGGGCCCTGAGGGTACAATAAATAAATAAATAAATAAATAAATAAGCTCATAGCGCGCTACGTATTAAGCACATTTCTAAATTTTCTGACTACCGGAAAGTAGTACTTAATTTTGTTCTGGTACATCCTGGTTTCACTTATCGGGGTTGCACTCCGCAGTTTTACTTCTTTATTAGGCCTAGACATGTTTTTATTTCTGACATCCAAGAACAGTGCGGATACTTAAACTAGCTAGCAGAAACGGTATCGTTCGGTGTTATAACATTTGTTTCGTAGCGTCAAGGGGTCACGTTCACAAACCCGGCAGGGCAGACATCCACAGCGCATTGGTGTTTCTCGTTTTTTTCTGCTAAAAAAAAAGAAAAAAAAGGAAGGTTTTTTTTTTATATTCCCGCTTTTCTGGTGCGGTATGTCTATAACATAAGCTATCGGGATTCGGGCGACAGATCGTCTGGCTATGTGAACATTTGAAATATTTCTGTTAGATGATCGTAACTAAGACATTTGATTCCTGCCTGAATCAGCATATTTTCACACTCAATTAAAATTACTAATAACATGGTCTGAGGAGATTTACGTGCCTTTCGTGGCGTCGTGAGCAATAAATACAATTACTTTTTCTGGTTTCTGGAGAGTAATGTTTATTATTGTTTTTGAAGCTCAAAGCGGGTGCTCAATCCTGCCACGTGTTTTGTTTTTTTTTCATTCGGAGGCTCCGCTACAGTGGCGTCACAAGGGGGGGGAGGGGGGGGGGGGGGGGGTGTCGCGGCGGGCTACCGCCCCGGGTGCCCCTGACCCTCGCGACGCCACTGATCCGCTATACCGTTTTTATTTTTTATCCAAATCAAACACGTGCGTATACCACCGGACGTTAAGTATAGTGCATCCAATTAAACTAGATTCCTGAAAAAATATCGTTCGTCGTTGTAAAATTCATTTTTCGTGGCGTACGTGTTCAGATTCTCAATATCCTGAATGTGGTTTCCTCGCCGCATTGTTTTTAGAGCGCAGCTCTTAGGGGCCCGTTCCCGGCTTGAGCGGCGTCGCCGTCGCCGTCGGCGTCGGCGTAACCAAGGTCATCCCAAGGTCACGTGACCCCTAAGGTCACGTGATCCCTCCCAAGGTCATCTCAAGGTCACGTGACCCCACGTGACCCCCTGAAGGTCACGTGACCCCTCCAGGTCACGTGACCCCTTCCAAGGTCATCTCAAGGTCACGTGACCCCAAGATGATCCCACGTGACCCTTTGAAGGTCACGTGACCCCCAAGTCACGTGACCCCTCTGAGGTCACGTGACCCCCGAGGTCACGTGACCCCCAAGGTCACGTGACCCCTTCCAAGGTCATCTCAAGGTCACGTGACCCCACGTGACCCCCAGGTCACGTGACCCCTCTGAGGTCACGTGACCCCCCGAGGTCACGTGACCCCTCCAGGTCACGTGACCCCCAAGGTAACGTGGGGGTCACCTTTGGGGTCACGTGGCCTTGAGGTCACCCCCAGGTCACGCCTCCCCGAGGTCACGTGACCCCCTCCCCGAAGTCACGTGACACCCCCCCCGGAGCATATTAAAGAATGAGGGGAGGAGGAGGAGAAGGGGGAGGGGTCTACCCTCCCCTCAGTACCCTTCACTCCTCCTCCTCAAGAGCTGCGCTCCAATTCGGCGTTACAGGGATTTGTAAACGGCTTTCACTTTTTTTTTCTTGTTTTTGCGGTAAAACACGTCAGCATTGGCACGCTGGGATCAAATACGCCAGCGTCGGCAGTCATTTACGAAGGATTTATCAACGCAAACATTTCCCCTCGCTATTCATGCTATTCATGCCGCAGTTGGTCGGAATCTCAATGATGTGACTGCATAGTGAAAACGGCAAAAAAATAAAAATAAAACGATGTCGGTCAGCAAACGGAACTTCAACGGAAGGACTCGCCAACGTGAA